GTGAGCAAGGCGGCCCCAGACGTGGAACGCAGACGCGTCACCAGAGAACCCGGTCCAGAGGAGGGTCGGCCAAACCTGCGGCCGCTGCGAGTGTGGCCACAGGTTAAGCTGGTGAGCAGCGTAGCGAACAGCGAACGGCCACAGAACATGAGGTACGAGCCACCTCCATGAGCAAACTAATGCATTGCTCAGCGACCACATTCTTATGCGGGGAGTCCGGCAGGGAGTACGACTGGGTGATGCCCTACGCACGACAGAACTGGCCAAGCAGTTCGGAGGCAAACTCGCCACAACGACCGTAGTGGAGACGCAGCATGGGGAGGCCGCGATGGACTCGCGCAGCTACGACCCACGAGATAAGAACGCCAGGCACGTTGGCCTTCCACTCATAGGGAAACACCATGGTGTAGCACGTGTAGTCGTCTGTGAGAGTACGATCCCGTTACACCACTGGTCCTTTTCCCTATTTCCTTTTCCTTCCACTTCTTTTTTTACCGCATCTCATTTTTCTCCATTTTCCATTAAACATTTGGTTTATCCTGCTCTTATAATTATATCACCGACCAGGCTTGGGATGTACTGGTGCGCTCTATCTAGCGTAATCCTGCCGTAATCCCTTAAAGCCAATAGCCTCGCGTGGCTATACGCAGGGTGATTCTATTTTCTAGAAGGGTCTATTCCCTTAGGATAAGATAAACCTGGTTACCTGATGTACTCTGGAAGTATAAAAGCGCCTTGTACTGGTCGATAGTGCGATCTTTCCTCGAGTCATTCGATCCTGTGACATCGTTGACATGCACTAGAAAGTAGCACTCTCGACGCGGCCCCGGGACGGGGGTTGGGCCTCAGACGTCCAGGTGCAGGGTCTAGAGTGGCGTAGTGGTAGGGGGGAGCGAGGAGGAGAGAAGAGCACAGCGCTGCGGGCCCTCGACAAAAGGCGCGCACGGCAGCGTAGGCGAGGGAGGGAGGGCAAGGAGTGACGCAGGGAGACCATAGACAAGACCGTGATGGGACATTTGACGTAAACGCGGGAGCCCGGGGTAACCTAGACGGTGGTCCCACATCAGCGACCGTTGGGTGAGCGACCTACACGAGCAAGCCGCAGCAACCTGGGAGGACTCAGCGACCTGCTCTCACCGAGGTGGACGCGGTGTCTAGCGTAAACAGGCCAGACACAGGGTCCCGGGGGAACGTGGTGAGAGGGGCACCAGTGGCGGCCTTGGTATAGACTGTCTACTGCTCGTTTTTAGGGAACGTAGTGGTGACGCCGAGTTCCTGAAGACAGCCGACACCAACTCGGTTCCTCGAGAACGAAGGGATGTGCAAGCTTGTAAGAGAGCCCGAGGGAACCGCCAGACAGGGAAGGGTATTCAAGCTACTTGGGGAGGGGTCAACGAGCGAGACTGCGGCAGGGGCGGCAAGCGCCGTGAGCAAATTGTGGTCGCGAAAGAAGCAGGTGAACGCACCAGAGTCTAGTGTGAACGATAGCGCGGCGATAGCGGTCGCAGGCGGAGGAGCTAGAGTGGAGCCGAGGCTAAACAAGGCAGGTGGTCCTACGCTTGACGTAGCAGGGGGAGCTAGGCCACACTCAGTGGACACACCTACACTAGGCAATACAGGGTAATAGTGTCCAGTCACACTAGATTCATCAGCATACATAACATACATAGCAGTCTTAATCTGATCCATGTCAAGCCTAAATACAAGCACAGGGTGGCAAACTAGGAGGGGACGACATGGGACCGGAGCGAAGACGGAAGAGGTAGTGGAGGCGGCGGTGTGACCGGGACGGTCGCAGACAGTGCCGCGACGGGGGCCGGACTGTAGCTGGTATTGGCAGGTGGCCATAGGGGAGCCGCCACACGACGCCGAGCTACGTGGCCCACCACCACGACGACCACCACCAGCGCCACCAGGCCACCACGGCAGCGGGGGTCCCTATGGCGGCTGCTGCTGCTGCTCTGGGGCACCAGCCCCGGTCCCCTTGACAGCACCATCGTCCCCGGCCTTTCCTCCACCACCCCTACTATCCCCATTACCCTTCCCTCTGCCACGCCGCCCCTTGGGCCTGCGGCCCCTACCCTGATGCTGATGCGCTGATGCCGGCGTAAGTAAGTACACTGGGAGGGAGCACAGCTCTGGAAGATAGGGACCAGCGTAGTACTGCTCGATTGGGCGATAGTGTGCTGGCGAGTCTCTATCGTGGATAGGGCAGTGACAAAGGCAGTGAGGGTGAGTGTCACAGGATCGAATGTCCCGAGGAAAGGTTTGCTCAATGTTGCAATATCAATCAGTACAAGGGGCTTTTATACTTCCATATTACATCAGGTAACCAGGTTTATCCTATCCAAAGGGAATAGACCCTTCTAGAAATAGAATCACCCTGCGTATAGCCACGCGAGGCTATTGGCTTTAAGGGATTACGGCAGGATTACGCTAGATATAGCGCGCCAGTACATCCCGAGCTCTCACAGTGAGGTCACCTGGGTGCTGACTAAGGAAGTGGTCGCGAGCAGTGGCTAGGCGGTCAGGCAGACGCGTGACAATGAGGTAAAGGGTAGCAGGCGGGAAGGCAGTAAGCTGTACCTCAGTGCTAGCGGCGCGGTAGCTAGTCTCCAGAGCGCGGAGGTGAGTGTCAAGGTCAACGACAATGGTGAAGGACGCAAGGTCAGAGAACAGCATAGGGAGGATCAGGCGCTGATATTGGCGAAGGCGGAGGTGGAATAGTGCGCAATGACGGCATCAAAGTATTCCTTGGCGTTTGCTACAGTGGTGAAGCGGGGACACTCAGACAGGGGGAGTGCGTAACTGATGGCAAGCTGAGCAATGGCGTCGCGGGAATCCCAGACAGCGCAGGCAAGCTCAGCAGCGACAAAAGCCTCATGCTCAGCAAACGCGGGAGCGTCAAGGAGGGCAGGAGGCGGGCGGGGCGAGGGAGCTTACCGTCAACATGGACGGCAAGGAAGTGGTCGTCCTGGCGCTGCCCGGTCAGCTGGCGGCGGAGGTGGACGAGCCACGCCTCAAACTCAACGGCCCGACCCTCCGCGTCCAGGCGGAGCAGAGAGGCCGCCATCACCACGGCAACAGCAGCTGACTGCCGTTGACAAGGGCGGAGGATGGCGGTGGAGAGCAGTGGAGAGCGGTGGAGTGCGGTGGAGGGCGGTGGAGTGGCGTGGAGAGCGGTGGAGGGCGGTGGAGTCTGCCGGCGGGAACGCCGGCTCAGAGGGGGAGCCAAGGCCGGCGCGTCAGCTGGGCTCGGCGGTAGGAAGGGCCGGGACGGGCTGGGACTGGTGGGGCTGCGTCCGGCGGGAGCGCAGGGCCAAGGCAACGGGTTAGGGAGGCGCGGGGCCATCGAGCAGGTGCAGGGCTGGCGGGCGCCGAGCCAGCAGGCACGGGGTTGGCAGGTGCGGGGCCAGCAGGCGCAGTGGCCGGCGGGCGCGGAGCTGGCGAGCGCAGGGGCCAGCAGGCGCAGGGCCAGCGATTACGGGGCCGGCGGCGGGTGGCTGGCGAGTGCGGGGCCAGCGGACGTGGGGCCAGCGGGCGCTGGACGGGCGGGTGCGGGGCCAGCAGGCGCACGAGGCCGACGGGCGCAGGGCTGGCCGGCGGGGGGCTGGCGAGGTCGGGGCCAGCAGGCGCGGGCGGGCGGGTGCGGAGCCAGCAATCGCGGGTCCAGCGGGCATGGGATTGGGGAGCGCGGGGCCGACGGGGGCGGGGCTAGCGGGTATGGGGCTAGCGAGCACGGGGTCGGCGAATGCAGGGCCAGCAGGCGCGGGGCCAGCAGGCGTTGGACTGGCGAGCTGGGGGCTGGCGATCGTGAGGCCAGTGGGCGCGAGGCGAGGGGCAGCGACGATCGACTACGGGCGGCTAGCGACGGGCGGCTAGGTCTAGGGCTAGGGCGGAAGCGCGGGTGGGCGGAGAGAACCTAACCTAGCATGATACCATATCAAAGTAGCAAATTGATCAAGAATGTGGGATTCACGGTGGTTTTGTGCTAAGGGGTTGTACTCTTTAAGAGTACGCACCTATCTAGCTGTTTGACTAAATTGGCTAGGCAGCCATGAATGGCTAGAGGTTTTAGGCTAGGGGGAGAAAAGTTACGAGAGAAAAGAGAATGAGATTAGAGGAGAGAGGAATACAAGGAGGGGGTTGTACCCTCTACAGTTGTTTTCAGTAACACCTACCAAGCCTACAATCATATAAAACATATATAATTTAACACACCCCCTAGGCTTGGTAGTCTCAAGCCTAGCACCCAGCACCCCCAAGCACCCCCAACACCCAGCACCCCCAAGCCCGTGCACCCCCCCGGTCCTGCAGCAGGAGTGGCTACTAACCCTCGTGCGAGGCGGTGCCACTCCCGTCGGGTGGCGGCAATAGCGACAGCAGCGGCGGTGGCGGCGGCAGCGTCGACGACGGGCGGCGGCGACGGCGGCACGTCGGTGCCGGCAGCCGCGTTGACGACGGCGGCAGCGACGGCGGCGGCGACAGCGAAACTAGCGACGCCCAGCAGCATGGCACGGCCCGGCGACCACCGGGATATCAGCATCTGCGGCTGGAACTAGGGGTGGTGCAGGGGAGGTGGCATTGCGTCAGCAAGGCGCCGTGGCTGACACGGCGCTGGCTGATGTGCGGGGTAGCTAGCGGCGCCTAAGACGTTGCGCGGCCCGCTGCCACCTCACGACGCCGCCACTGAAGCATAACGACGCCGCCACAGTGTGGCGTCGATGCCGCGACGGCACGTCGACGCTGCCACAGCTGCACGACGAAGCCGCCATGGCAGCTCGGCCATGCCACGACGAAGCCGCCATGGCAGCTCGGCATGGCCGCCACGGTGGCACGGAAGTGACGAGAGAAGGGCGAGTACGCGGCTGAAGCGTGGGGAGCAGGCCCGGGAGGGGCAACCTGCTCTGGTACCATGTTCGACTAAATAGGCTAGGCAGCCATGAATGGCGAGAGGTTTAAGGCTAGGGGGAGAAAAGTTACGAGAGAAAATAGAATGAGATTAGAAGAGAGCGGGATACAAGGGGGTTGTACCCTCTACAGCAGGTTTCGGTAACACCTGCCAAGCCTACAATTATATCTAACATATATAATTTAGCACTATCCTGTAGTAGCATATACCGTAAATATATGTTTGACAAAGCCAACATCACTAGAAGAAGATTGACATCGAGATGGAGAAGAGAATGCTAAACATCTGAAGCAACGGAGGTCGAAGTGAATATTCAGTGGATGCACTCTTGGCGGTGCTGATAAGATTTTCAGGGTGTAAAACATATCGAGCCGTTTCCGCTGGCCACACATACACACACACGCACGCACGCGCACGCACGCACGAATGCACGCACGCACGCATGCACGCACGCACCCACACCCACACACACACACACACACACACACACACACACACACACACACACACACACACACACACACGCGCGCGCGCGCGCGCACGCACACACGCGCATGCACGCACACACGCGCACGCACGCACACACGCGCACGCACGCACACACACACGCACACGCACACACACACACACACGCGTGTGCACGTGCACGCACGCACACGCACACGCACACGCACACACACACACACATGAGTTTGCCTCACTGGTGAAGGCCTGGAAAGGCATGCGGGTGGTGGCAGAATCACGTGAAGCGAGGCAGGCGAGGAGAGTGGTTGATCAGAACAAACAAATAGAGCCCTGGGCTTGCAGAGATTTGAGAGAGGGATAGGGACAGGATTTCAAGGCAAGTCCCAGGAAGAACAAAGGCAGCGCAGGTGGCAGAGCCAGTGTGCGTGAAAGCATATGCAACAGGGAGAGGTGGTGGCCGAGTGGGTCTCACCAGACATGCACATCTGCGAGGTATTCGATGACTTATACACCAGGTCGGTGCCAGAACAAGTGCACGTGTTGCCCGTGCCCACCACAGTGCACGTGCCGTTCGTGCACAGATTGTCGTGCTTACAGGGATCTGGAGAGAGAAGGATAGATGGTGGGGAAAGAAACGGATGAGGGGTCAAGAGTGGGCGCCATACAAAAGGGAAGTTCTGAACTCGTTTTTGTTTTACACAGCTATACATCTCGAAGTAGAGGGTGAGTGACCTTGGAAGCAGATTGTACCATCGATGCAAGTCAGCGAGCCATTGTTGAAGGGATCAAACGCCATGTCTCTAGGTCCACAGATGCAGCTATATCCTGTGGCTGTCTCCGTGCACTCCCCCTCCTGATGAGACCAATCGCCACAGGGGCCGTACCGCGTGCCGTCATTGCAGTTGCCTGGTTGGAGAGGGAAGAGAGAGGGCACGAGGAAGAGGAAAGAGGAAGAGGGGGAGGGGGGGTTGGGTTGGAGCAGAGGGACTGCATGGGTTGGAGAAGTTTGCACCGCAGGCCAGGACATGGTGAAAAAGGGGTCGAAATTGAATCAGGCGAACCAATGAGCCATGGCATGCCCTATTAGCACCATGGCCTGCTCTATTACCGCCATGGCATGCCCTATTAGCGCCATGGCATACCCTATTAGCGCCATGGCATGCCCTGTTAGCGCCATGGCATACCCTATTACCGCCATGGCATGCCCTATTAGCGCCATGGCATGCCCTATTAGCGCCATGGGATGCCCTATTAGCGCCATGGGATGCCCTATTAGCGCCATGGGATGCCCTATTACCGCCATAGGATGCCCTATTACCGCCATGGGATGCCCTATTAGCGCCATGGCATTCCTCTAAACGCCTTGCCATGCATCTTATCATCAGCACCATTATAGGCACTCCATACCAATGGTTGTGGTCAAGGGTTGGGGCTCCCACGAAAAGGTCTGGGAGCAACCCTAATCCAAGTGTACGCCCAACAATGGCTCTACACCCTAGTGTTACCACTGCAGCCTCCAAGATGCATTCTGTCGTCTTCAACTCCCCCCTCCATCTACCTTCCTTAATGCACCCACACCCCAGGCCCCCCATATCCTCACCAGAAGGCTTGCAGTAGGGAGTGTTCTCCTCCGCACTCGTACCCACCAGCAGGGCGCCAGCAGCACAAGTGCAGTTATAATAACCCGGCAGAGGCAAGCAGCGTGTGGCGTAGGGGCCGCAGGGGTCGGAGAGACAGAGGTCTGGGGTGGGGGGAAGGTGCAGGACGCAGAATGCACTCAGCCTTCCACAAGACAGTGAGGGCGAGGATGAGAAGATTGAAGGCGAGAAGAGAAGCAACGAAGGGCATCAAGGCGATAAAATGACAGCAGAGAGAAACAGAAACTGAGGGTGGAGTATTACTGCTGTAGCATATCTGCTGGGGGGACGTGGCGTCCAGGCCGGATTCGACAACGAATTCAGTGGAGTTGCAGGTGCACGTGTTGCCCATGCCCACCACAGTGCATGTGCCGTTCTTCCCACAGGGGCCAAAGGGCCAAAGAGCGATGGCCTTGCAGGGATCTTGGGTGAGAGGAAGGGATGCATGGGGTGGAGGGGATGAAAGAGAGACAGAGACCGGGAGAGAATGCACCCGTTTTTTTCCCAAGGCAAGTGAATGAAAGAGAAAAAATGCGGAGCAAATGCGAGACGCAGAGTGGATGACACGATTGCGGTAGGGAGAGGAGGCGTCCGAGTGTAATTCACCTTCGAAGCATATCTGAGAGTTCCTCGTATCGTTATACAATAGGTCGGTGCCAGAACAGGTGCACGTGTTGCCCTTGCCCACCACAGTGCACGTGCCGTTCTGGCCGCAGCGGTCGTATGTCAGACCGGCTCCATTCGTCTTGCAGGGGTCTGGGGGAGAGACGGACAGAAGTTGAAGAGACGGATGGAAGTTGGAGAGACGGATGGAAGTTGGAGAGACGGATGGAAGTTGGAGAGACGGATGGAAGTTGGAGAGACGGATGGAAGTTGGAGAGACGGATGGAAGTTGGAGAGACGGATGGAAGTTGGAGAGACGGATGGAAGTTGGAGAGACGGATGGAAGTTGGAGAGACGGATGGAAGTTGGAGAGACGGATGGAAGTTGGAGAGACGGATGGAAGTTGGAGAGACGGATGGAAGGTGGAGAGACGGATGGAAGGTGGAGAGACGGACGAAACGAGGGGGAGAGATTGATTGCCACTGGCGAGATTCGAGAGATTCCTAAAACCACCGCAACTGGCACCTGCTTAAGAGCAGACAAGTGCTCGAATGAACATACGCCAAGGGTGACAAAATAATAAGAACCTTACTAGAGAGCATGGATGCGGATGGAGCATGGCATGGCATGGCATATCACGGCAGGGTAAGGCGTTTGCACAGCACTGAACGGAACGCCATGGCCTGGGCGCACTTCGTACCAGCAACGCAAGTCTGAGAACCATTGTTGAAGGGGTCGGCCACCATGCCTGTAGGTTCACACGTGCATTTGTACCCTGTGGCTGTCTCCGTGCACTCCCCAAAGAAACCATCCCACGTGCCACATGGGCCATTCGGCGTGACATCAAAGCAAGAGCCTGGGGGAAGTGGGTCGCGACACGAAGGGAAAGAGACAGGGGCGGCAAGAGGAGGGGAGGGATGAGCCAGGAGGAGTAGAGAATGATCAGAACGCCAACAGCAGGCATGGTCGAAGCTGGGTGCACGGGATGCAGAGACTGGGGAGAAGAAAAGGCGACCATGCAGCGAAGTGATGGGTTGAGTGAGGGGGAGGTGCGGTTGGGAATGGTTGGTGCGTGGAAAAACTCTAGAACAGCAAGTCATCCAGAGGAGAGGACACGTGGGGAGTGGATTTGAGAAGTTGGGAGGGAGGGCGAAGCAAGCAGCAGGGCGGAGCAAGCGGCAGGGAAAAGCAAGCAGCACGGCTGAGTAGAACGAGCTTAGGAAAGCTTCGGGCTGAGTGTAATATCTCGTTTCCCTAACCACTGAGCTAAGCGACTGCTACCCAGAGTCGCAGCGGTTGCACTTCTAAGGTCCGCAGACGTTACACAGGGTGTTGGAGAGGAATGAAGGGGAAGAGCCAGCAAAGGCGGAGCGACACTCACCGCTACTTGTAGGCAGGCGGACAGCGGTGGTCACGCCTGCCAGTGCCAGCATGACCAGCGACACCGCGAGAAGCAGCAGGCGGGAACTGCAGAGCCGGCGACGACGATGGCAATGCGACATGCTCGCTGCTGCTGCTGCTGCTGCTGCTGCTGCCATTGCCGCGAAGTGACCCCTCGGCAAAGGAGAATCAAATGTCGCACGCGGTGTCGCCAGGAGGATCCAACCCGTTGATACAGATGCGCGAAGAGCCTCGGTTGATACAATGCTACTCGCTCCTCCTCGGTGAGGCGACAGGAGAATGAGATGTCGCGCGGAGCGATGCCGCTTTCCTCCTTTAAGGAGGCTTGATGCTGAACAAGTTGTTCGGGTGCCCGAGGCTTTGACGATAGTATCGGCGATGGCGAACGATAGTACGACGTTAGACGCGATTGAGACTTGATGTGGTGCGCGCGTGAGTGAGAGCGACGAAGGGCAGACGAGCAGGGAAACGGGGGAGGAGAGCGCTATAGCAGGAGCAAGAAAGCTGTATCCGGCGGTGATATCCGAACGAGCTCTCAAAACGCAGACACGAGATGGCCAAAGGGAAGGCCTAAATCGCTTCTCATGGCTCCCAGTTTCCGTTTCTTGGAAACCGGTTTCCGTTTCGTGGGCAACATGGCTCCTGCTCCTCGCGCGCGCGACCCGGCGCGAGAAGGGATACGCCGTTCTCGCGCGGAAAGCGCGGCAGCCCGGCGCGCCGCTCGCATTTCCGCGACAATGCGGCTGGCTTGGCGGCTGGTGAAGCCTGTCTCAGACGAAACGACGAAGTGCTTTCCGTTAGCCTGGCGTGCGACGCGGGACCAAGAAAGACTGGCTGCTCATCCGCGCTGGACGATTTCTATTTGTGCTCCTTGGCAGAATTGCGCGGCTCGGAGAGACCACGTCCTCAATTAACATTTTTTACCCGTTTTGCTCACGGCCCGGGCAACCCCGAACTCGGATAATTTTTTTCTCGTGCTCATGCTCGTACTTGAGGCCCTTCGTATTTTGTGGGTTCTGAAACCAGGAGTCAATATGGTATCCTATGCGGATGCGTTCCAGAAAACCACTGAAGGTGACCTCACTCACTCGAGCCACGGCAAGAATACCGAAGCAAGCAGCAACCACTGCCTTATCCTCGGTTTCTTCAAGCCGAGTCGCTGCCCCTATCGGCTGTCTGCTGAGGGGGTCACCCATGTTCGTAGAACCTGCAAGATATCGAATATCGAATGTGAACCCACTAAGGAGTTCTGCCCAGCGGGCTTGGCGCCGAGTGAGCGTGGCTTGAGTAGAAAAATAGGTGTTCGGACAGTGATCTGTCGTGACCACAAACTCCACACCTTCCAGATAACATCGCCATGTGCGCAGCGCATGCACGACCGCCAGCAACTCTTGTTCTGACGTCGTATAGCGCTGCTCTGCCGGGGAGAGTTTCCTACTCTCAAATGCCACTGGGCGGCCCTCCTGCAAGAGTACCGCCCCAATCCCTACTGTCGAGGCGTCTGTGACCACCTCATAGGGTTTAGAAGGATTTGGCAATACCAGAACCGGAGCATTTGTCAGCTTTGTTTTGACTTTGTCAAATGCCTCTTGGCATTGTCGAGTCCACTCCCATGCACTACCCTTTCGGGTGAGTGCTGTCAGAGGGGCAACGACAGTTGAGTAATTTTCCAAGAACCGGCGGAAATAATTGGCCAGGCCTAGGAAGGATCTGATCTGGCCCACGTCTTGTGGGACGGGCCAATTCTGAACAGCCACCACCTTCTTGGGGTCGACTTTGAGTCCGTCGTTCCCGACAAGATGACCGAGGTATTCCAGCTCGCGTTTGTAGAAATGGCATTTCCATAAACGAGCATAGAACTTGTGTTCTCGCAACTTTCCTAACACCCATTTTAGGTGTTGAGTGTGCTCCTCTTCAGTCTTGGAATAAACCAAGATGTCGTCAAGGTAAACCAGAACAAAGTGCCCGATTGCTTCGCGGAACACATCGTTCATGGCCCTTTGAAAAGAGGCTGGAGCATTGGTCAAGCCAAAGCTAAGCACACGCCATTGAAAATGGCCAAACGGCGAACGGAACGCCGTCTTGGGAACATCTTCCTCAGTGATGCGCAGTTGGTGGTACCCCTGTGCCAGATCCAACGCGCTAAACCACTGAGCACCCTGGAGTCGATCGAACAGGTCTTCTATCCTTGGAAGAGGATATCTGTTCTTGATCGTGATCTTGTTTAAGGCGCGGTTGTCGACGCACATGCGTAAGCCACCACCCTTCTTGTTAACGAACAAGATTGTTGCTCCATATGGTGATGCGCTTGGCTCAATCCATCCCTTCCTGAGGTACTCCTCAATTTGTTGTTTAGCCTCCTCGTACTCAGCTGGACTGAGGCGATACAGAGGTCGAAACGGTGGGAGCTTTCCAGGCTCCACAGGGATGGTGTGGCCCACGGAGCGGTCAGGAGGGAGTCCGTCTGGAATAGCCTCAAAAACCTCCTTAAACTCATCCGCCAGTACCTTCATTTGAGGTGGAAAATCCTCAATGTCTGGCGTTGGGGTTCCAGCTTCCTCGAGCTGTACGACGAAAAGTGTGTTAGCAACGCGGTAATGCTGTCCAAATTGACATGCAAGAGCAAAGCACACGTCTGCACTTTTCGTAATTTGAACCACCGGGATGGTTGTATCGACAGACACCTGCCACTGGATTGGTTCACCATTCTTGGTGAAAGAAACTGTGTTATCCTGGAAATCCAAAATAACCTCGTTTGCACGTAACCAATCCATTCCCAAGACTACGTCGACACCCGCAAGCAAGGGGAGAACGTAAGTGCGAATCTTTTCGCTATAGCCTTGGATTTCCATGTCGATCAATGTCCGTCCTTTGCTTGGGATAAGACTATCGTCCCCAAGACGAATGGGATATGACGGTCCTTCAACGAGGACCCCAAGCGGTGTGACCCACTTTTCATCAAGGAGGGAAACAGTGGCACCTGTATCGACAAGAATTTTCGCGCTATGTCCGTTAACGTGACCCGAAAGGAGTAGATTTTGTTGATGCATTGGACGGATGGGGCATGCCACAATGTTCGACGAGGGTTTGTAGTACACCTTGACATTGTGGCGAGCTCGTCCAAAGGATTCAGATTTGGTCCACCACACGTGGTGTCCCTTGTCCCAAGACGCCAGCACAACCCATCCACGAAGCGATTTGAACGTTTCGCCCTTTACTGTACGAGTCACCACGGTGACCGCAGTCAGGGGGTGCTCTTGAGTACAACGACTCACAACATCGAGTACAGAAGGCAATGTTTCCAGGCCACAGTAAACGACTGAGAATTTATCTCGTAACGCTTCGATGGATATAGCATCAAGTGGGTACGATCGAGGTGCAAACATTGAGTTTTTATTAAAAGAAGAGGCAAACAAATAAGAGATTTTGCATTCAGCAAGCTTCTCTAGCTTTAGTAAATCATCGTCACATAAAGCATATGCCTCATCCCCTCGATCTATCTGACCAACTAGGTACCCACACCCTAGTTGGACTTCTGAAAATCCTTCTTACTGCCAGAAGGTCCTTCGCCGCCATTGTTGTTGCCCTTAGGCTTACCACTATGCTTTATGATATTCCTATAGCGGCACTGAAATTCCATGTGACCACGACGGCAACACCCTCGGCAGACGACATTAGAGAAGTCCCTTGGCGGCCCTTTGTAACCGCCACCATTCGCCCTCTTAGCCGGAGGACGCTGCTGGTTACCATTCTGGTGGAAGGGCCTCTTGTACCCATGGCCCTTCCCCTTGGAATTCCACTGGCCACCACCACCATTGCCCCCATCAACCCTCGCCTGAGTCCTCGACTCAGGCTGGTCGGTGGAAGGCGTTGCTAGCATACGAACAGTCTCGTCCGTTGCTTGAACCGCCTCTTTGAGCTCCTTGTAGGTGCTCCATTTGTTGAGGCCATTTGCGACATGCTTATCCTGCAGGGACTGGGGCAAATTCTGGAAGAAGATATACATAACTTCATTCTCAGATAGCTGCTTGCCCATCAGTCGCAGAACGCCCTCAAACTCTTGTGCATATTTCTGCACTGAGCGATCGCCACACTTGATGTTTTCAAGGCGACGACGCACCTCCATGTCAGTTGTCTTGACAAGAAAAGCCGCTTTCATTGCAGTACAGAACTCGTCCCAAGTGAAAAACTTTCCACTTGCTTCAAGCTGTTTCCGGCTAGCAAACATGGTTTGGCTAGCATGCTCATCCAACGCACCAGAGACGGCGGTGACACGAGCGTTGGTGCGCACGTTGTGGAGAGTCAGCATTTCATCCACAGTTGTCACCCAGTTCTCCACATCCGTCTTGCCATGGATGAATTTTGGGAGCGCAGTGGGGAGCGAGCCAAAAGGCGTTGCCATGGGCTGGACAGGCTGCTGAGGTGCTGCAGTTGAAGGAGATGCAACGGGCGGCGGGTTGGATTGGGTGCCCGATGGGCCAGCAGTAGCGGGTGAGTGTTGGTAGATAGGACCCCGCCGAATATCCCGGTACTGGTTCTGCAGGTGGGCAATAGCAGGTTGCATCTGGGCGATTGTAGATTGCAGCTGGGCAATTGTAGTCTGCAGTTGGGTGATAGCAGCTTGCAGCTGGTCGCACGTTTTCTCCAGGGCCTGGATTTGATTGCCCCTGTTATGTAGCAGACGCTTGTGATCCCGTACCTCTCCATATGCCATATTGAGATCGGCTTGCAGCCTAGTCGTGTCGGTCTTTTGTGTCGCCAAAGCAATATTGAGGGAGTTGATGTGTCCCTTCTGTTGATTGATTATAAGCTGCTGCTCCGAGACTTGTGCCTGGAGTTTAGCCACATCATCGGAGAGCGACCATTCCTCGATGCCATCATCCTCCCCCTCTGCTCCATCAATCCCTTCTGCTTCTCCATGCTCTTCATTTCCCTCATTCTCCAAATTTATGTCCACCAATTCAATATCAGCCATGGCCTCATCTTGCTGTTGGTTATTATTAGCAGCAAGGTTGGCTCCCTCAGGAGTCACATTAGCCTCCCCCCTTTCCAAGTTTTCCAAAGCTTGACTTGAAGTCATGGTAAAACAAGGAAGATATTTCAACAGATCTGAAATGTTCTTTAAAATCTCTTAAGAAATCTGTTCAAGTCCCAATCACTGCAGTGAGAGGGCAAGACAATCTCTATAAAGAGATCTCTTAACAGAATAACTTAATAAGAGAAATTACAAGAAATACAATCTGTTGCCCAATCCCTAGCACCTCAATGCTAGGGCAAGATCTAAACTAGATCTTGCAACAGATCGCAGATCTGAGCCACACTCCTCAGGGGAGTCTTCCACCAACAAGGTGGGTAAGAGAGAAAATGTTCTCTCTTCAAATCTTGAATGGTGGAGACAGGAGAAGAGGTTGTGCTGGAAAATTGTCTTGAGAAGTGGAGGAATTTGATGAAGATCTTGAAAAAGCTCTTCAAAATGACTTGGAGAAGCTTGAGATATCTTGAAATCTTCACTCCAATGTCTTGGATTGAAGGCCAATCACCCCTCTAACAAAAAAAATCAAGAAAAATCCCACAAGGCTTAAGATTAACGTAGCTCTGAATACCAAATGTAACAACCCTTGCCCTTATATCATGGGCAACAAGGGTTGAAGTCCAAACCCAACATCCAAGATCCTAGGATATAAAATGGAGTACAAAATCAACTAACGATCCCCTAGCGTAGTATTTAGGAGGAACCTCCTCTAAGAGATAGCTTAAGCTTGAGGAAGGCCCTTGAAGACAAGTGCTTGAGACTCTGGTCGGGTAGGGCTTCCCCTAGGAGATCACACTAGAAGCCACTAGTGAAGGGAAGCTTGTGAGGAGAGCTCATGACTTAAAGAAAAATCCCATTTCAAGATTGATTTCTTGGAGTGGGAAGTTGAGAATGAGCTTGTCAGCTCAGACCCCTTCCAATGACTCCCAGCAGCTGCTCAACCTCCTCCATGGCTCCAAGGACGTGAGCTAGCTTATGTGGCAAAAGGGTTGGATTTCCAACCAATGAGAGGTTTACAAGAATATATTCAGATTAGCATATAGTGTACAGCATAAGAATATTCGAGTTGAGTTGGCACTGCCAACCAACTCCCTGGTTCTGATTGGTCGCAAATCCAACCATCGCGTGAGTTGGGAATTTCGCCAACTCAATTTGTACAACTAAAATCTGATTGGTCCCAAGTGTCGACCAATCCTAATCCTCCCCTCCCAACCCTTCCTTCCCATTTCGCGCTACCTAGCATAGGTAGCCGATTTGTGGAAAGCGGTTGGGAAGGTCGTTTCTAGGCCCGCGTACTGTGCAGAGGCAGCCATGAATGGCGAGAGGTTTAAGGCTAGGGGGAGAAAAGTTACGAGAGAAAATAGAATGAGATTAGAAGAGAGCGGGATACAAGGGGGTTGTACCCTCTACAGCAGGTTTCGGTAACACCTGCCAAGCCTACAATTATATCTAACATATATAATTTAGCACTATCCTGTAGTAGCATATACCGTAAATATATGTTTGACAAAGCCAACATCACTAGAAGAAGATTGACATCGAGATGGAGAAGAGAATGCTAAACATCTGAAGCGACGGAGGTCGAAGTGAATATTCAGTGGATGCACTCTTGGCGGTGCTGATAAGATTTTCAGGGTGTAAAACATATCGAGCCGTTTCCGCTGGCCACACATACACACACACGCACGCACGCGCACGCACGCACGAATGCACGCACGCACGCATGCACGCACGCACCCACACCCACACACACACACACACACGCACCCACACACACACACACACACACACACACACACACACACACACGCGCGCGCGCGCGCGCACGCACACACGCGCATGCACGCACACACGCGCACGCACGCACACACGCGCACGCACGCACACACACACGCACACGCACACACACACACACACGCGTGTGCACGTGCACACACGCACACGCACACGCACACACACACACACATGAGTTTGCCTCACTGGTGAAGGCCTGGAAAGGCATGCGGGTGGTGGCAGAATCACGTGAAGCGAGGCAGGCGAGGAGAGTGGTTGATCAGAACAAACAAATAGAGCCCTGGGCTTGCAGAGATTTGAGAGAGGGATAGGGACAGGATTTCAAGGCAAGTCCCAGGAAGAACAAAGGCAGCGCAGGTGGCAGAGCCAGTGTGCGTGAAAGCATATGCAACAGGGAGAGGTGGTGGCCGAGTGGGTCTCACCAGACATGCACATCTGCGAGGTATTCGATGACTTATACACCAGGTCGGTGCCAGAACAAGTGCACGTGTTGCCCGTGCCCACCACAGTGCACGTGCCGTTCGTGCACAGATTGTCGTGCTTACAGGGATCTGGAGAGAGAAGGATAGATGGTGGGGAAAGAAACGGATGAGGGGTCAAGAGTGGGCGCCATACAAAAGGGAAGTTCTGAACTCGTTTTTGTTTTACACAGCTATACATCTCGAAGTAGAGGGTGAGTGACCTTGGAAGCAGATTGTACCATCGATGCAAGTCAGCGAGCCATTGTTGAAGGGATCAAACGCCATGTCTCTAGGTCCACAGATGCAGCTATATCCTGTGGCTGTCTCCGTGCACTCCCCCTCCTGATGAGACCAATCGCCACAGGGGCCGTACCGCGTGCCGTCATTGCAGTTGCCTGGTTGGAGAGGGAAGAGAGAGGGCACGAGGAAGAGGAAAGAGGAAGAGGGGGAGGGGGGGTTGGGTTGGAGCAGAGGGACTGCATGGGTTGGAGAAGTTTGCACCGCAGGCCAGGACATGGTGAAAAAGGGGTCGAAATTGAATCAGGCGAACCAATGAGCCATGGCATGCCCTATTAGCACCATGGCCTGCTCTATTACCGCCATGGCATGCCCTATTAGCGCCATGGCATACCCTATTAGCGCCATGGCATGCCCTGTTAGCGCCATGGCATACCCTATTACCGCCATGGCATGCCCTATTAGCGCCATGGCATGCCCTATTAGCGCCATGGGATGCCCTATTAGCGCCATGGGATGCCCTATTAGCGCCATGGGATGCCCTATTACCGCCATAGGATGCCCTATTACCGCCATGGGATGCCCTATTAGCGCCATGGCATTCCTCTAAACGCCTTGCCATGCATCTTATCATCAGCACCATTATAGGCACTCCATACCAATGGTTGTGGTCAAGGGTTGGGGCTCCCACGAAAAGGTCTGGGAGCAACCCTAATCCAAGTGTACGCCCAACAATGGCTCTACACCCTAGTGTTACCACTGCAGCCTCCAAGATGCATTCTGTCGTCTTCAACTCCCCCCTCCATCTACCTTCCTTAATGCACCCACACCCCAGGCCCCCCATATCCTCACCAGAAGGCTTGCAGTAGGGAGTGTTCTCCTCCGCACTCGTACCCACCAGCAGGGCGCCAGCAGCACAAGTGCAGTTATAATAACCCGGCAGAGGCAAGCAGCGTGTGGCGTAGGGGCCGCAGGGGTCGGAGAGACAGAGGTCTGGGGTGGGGGGAAGGTGCAGGACGCAGAATGCACTCAGCCTTCCACAAGACAGTGAGGGCGAGGATGAGAAGATTGAAGGCGAGAAGAGAAGCAACGAAGGGCATCAAGGCGATAAAATGACAGCAGAGAGAAACAGAAACTGAGGGTGGAGTATTACTGCTGTAGCATATCTGCTGGGGGGACGTGGCGTCCAGGCCGGATTCGACAACGAATTCAGTGGAGTTGCAGGTGCACGTGTTGCCCATGCCCACCACAGTGCATGTGCCGTTCTTCCCACAGGGGCCAAAGGGCCAAAGAGCGATGGCCTTGCAGGGATCTTGGGTGAGAGGAAGGGATGCATGGGGTGGAGGGGATGAAAGAGAGACAGAGACCGGGAGAGAATGCACCCGTTTTTTTCCCAAGGCAAGTGAATGAAAGAGAAAAAATGCGGAGCAAATGCGAGACGCAGAGTGGATGACACGATTGCGGTAGGGAGAGGAGGCGTCCGAGTGTAATTCACCTTCGAAGCATATCTGAGAGTTCCTCGTATCGTTATACAATAGGTCGGTGCCAGAACAGGTGCACGTGTTGCCCTTGCCCACCACAGTGCACGTGCCGTTCTGGCCGCAGCGGTCGTATGTCAGACCGGCTCCATTCGTCTTGCAGGGGTCTGGGGGAGAGACGGACAGAAGTTGAAGAGACGGATGGAAGTTGGAGAGACGGATGGAAGTTGGAGAGACGGATGGAAGTTGGAGAGACGGATGGAAGTTGGAGAGACGGATGGAAGTTGGAGAGACGGATGGAAGTTGGAGAGACGGATGGAAGTTGGAGAGACGGATGGAAGTTGGAGAGACGGATGGAAGTTGGAGAGACGGATGGAAGTTGGAGAGACGGATGGAAGTTGGAGAGACGGATGGAAGTTGGAGAGACGGATGGAAGGTGGAGAGACGGATGGAAGGTGGAGAGACGGACGAAACGAGGGGGAGAGATTGATTGCCACTGGCGAGATTCGAGAGATTCCTAAAACCACCGCAACTGGCACCTGCTTAAGAGCAGACAAGTGCTCGAATGAACATACGCCAAGGGTGACAAAATAATAAGAACCTTACTAGAGAGCATGGATGCGGATGGAGCATGGCATGGCATGGCATATCACGGCAGGGTAAGGCGTTTGCACAGCACTGAACGGAACGCCATGGCCTGGGCGCACTTCGTACCAGCAACGCAAGTCTGAGAACCATTGTTGAAGGGGTCGGCCACCATGCCTGTAGGTTCACACGTGCATTTGTACCCTGTGGCTGTCTCCGTGCACTCCCCAAAGAAACCATCCCACGTGCCACATGGGCCATTCGGCGTGACATCAAAGCAAGAGCCTGGGGGAAGTGGGTCGCGACACGAAGGGAAAGAGACAGGGGCGGCAAGAGGAGGGGAGGGATGAGCCAGGAGGAGTAGAGAATGATCAGAACGCCAACAGCAGGCATGGTCGAAGCTGGGTGCACGGGATGCAGAGACTGGGGAGAAGAAAAGGCGACCATGCAGCGAAGTGATGGGTTGAGTGAGGGGGAGGTGCGGTTGGGAATGGTTGGTGCGTGGAAAAACTCTAGAACAGCAAGTCATCCAGAGGAGAGGACACGTGGGGAGTGGATTTGAGAAGTTGGGAGGGAGGGCGAAGCAAGCAGCAGGGCGGAGCAAGCGGCAGGGAAAAGCAAGCAGCACGGCTGAGTAGAACGAGCTTAGGAAAGCTTCGGGCTGAGTGTAATATCTCGTTTCCCTAACCACTGAGCTAAGCGACTGCTACCCAGAGTCGCAGCGGTTGCACTTCTAAGGTCCGCAGACGTTACACAGGGTGTTGGAGAGGAATGAAGGGGAAGAGCCAGCAAAGGCGGAGCGACACTCACCGCTACTTGTAGGCAGGCGGACAGCGGTGGTCACGCCTGCCAGTGCCAGCATGACCAGCGACACCGCGAGAAGCAGCAGGCGGGAACTGCAGAGCCGGCGACGACGATGGCAATGCGACATGCTCGCTGCTGCTGCTGCTGCTGCTGCTGCTGCCATTGCCGCGAAGTGACCCCTCGGCAAAGGAGAATCAAATGTCGCACGCGGTGTCGCCAGGAGGATCCAACCCGTTGATACAGATGCGCGAAGAGCCTCGGTTGATACAATGCTACTCGCTCCTCCTCGGTGAGGCGACAGGAGAATGAGATGTCGCGCGGAGCGATGCCGCTTTCCTCCTTTAAGGAGGCTTGATGCTGAACAAGTTGTTCGGGTGCCCGAGGCTTTGACGATAGTATCGGCGATGGCGAACGATAGTACGACGTTAGACGCGATTGAGACTTGATGTGGTGCGCGCGTGAGTGAGAGCGACGAAGGGCAGACGAGCAGGGAAACGGGGGAGGAGAGCGCTATAGCAGGAGCAAGAAAGCTGTATCCGGCGGTGATATCCGAACGAGCTCTCAAAACGCAGACACGAGATGGCCAAAGGGAAGGCCTAAATCGCTTCTCATGGCTCCCAGTTTCCGTTTCTTGGAAACCGGTTTCCGTTTCGTGGGCAACATGGCTCCTGCTCCTCGCGCGCGCGACCCGGCGCGAGAAGGGATACGCCGTTCTCGCGCGGAAAGCGCGGCAGCCCGGCGCGCCGCTCGCATTTCCGCGACAATGCGGCTGGCTTGGCGGCTGGTGAAGCCTGTCTCAGACGAAACGACGAAGTGCTTTCCGTTAGCCTGGCGTGCGACGCGGGACCAAGAAAGACTGGCTGCTCATCCGCGCTGGACGATTTCTATTTGTGCTCCTTGGCAGAATTGCGCGGCTCGGAGAGACCACGTCCTCAATTAACATTTTTTACCCGTTTTGCTCACGGCCCGGGCAACCCCGAACTCGGATAATTTTTTTCTACGCTCGAGTCGGGAAATGCGTTTTTGATTAACCGCGTTTTTTTCTACGAACTCTCATGTTTCCCTTGCCCAAAATGATGGCCCGAAATTATGACAAGGCTATCCAGTTACGAGAGGTATTTAGCTAGTGGCGCAAGTTGAGCTTAGGGGCATGATTTTTCATGAGAATCCACGGACTCTCGGGTTCTCCCGCGTAAAACTCGTTTGCATCCGCCCAGATTCTACAGTGTCAGCCAAAACATTTTCTCAAAACGTGCCAAAGTTCTTAGACTATCAGCAGAAATTCATAGGATCCCGTCCTATATATTGTTTTCCAGCAAAACGCAGTGAGATGTGAGCTCCACCAAAACAACGACATTCCGTCAACTCCAAGCTGCGTTCGGGTTTTCTTAAGCATCTACATTCGAACGCGAAATCCCTAAAATGTTAAGACAAGGGGGTTATTAATAACAACGTTTTCTTGAACAAGCCCCACTAAACCTAACGAGATTTCGTACATCTGCGCGTGGGGCTGGACGAAACCTTGAGAGGTTGACCCAGCTAGTAATTCACGGGCAAACACTAAATCCCAAATACAGTTCACACAATTTCAAATTCCATAACTTTCACATTTCCAGGATCGTGTGCAAAATGGGTAGAAAATGTTAATTGAGGACGCTGTCTCACCGAGCCGCGCAACTAAGCCGTGCTCCTTGCTGACCTGCGGATGGGCTGTTATCTCTAGCACGCATGGGCAATGATCGGTAAGCCGTCATTCCAGAATACGGAATGCGGAATACGGAATCCGCTGCGAGCTTTCCGTATTCCGTGCGTTGACTCGCCAGGTTCGGTAGTGCGAGAAGTTGGGCTGGTTTATGTGCAAAATTGCGTGATGTAACTGACGCGTCTGAGCTGGCAAATCTCCAAACTTGCCCGCCACGATCTGGGTCACGAAAAACAAAAGGGATTCTTGCAAAAAAAAAAAATGTGTAGGGCCCAACATCTGGATTGAAATCGAAATGTGACCCTGAATTTGTTTTCTTGGCGGTCAGACACAGCCTGATAGTGGGTATTCGACGTTTCCCGTTTCTGAAATAAGGGCATTCGTTATTGCGTCTGGATTGCCCCACTCTTCACTATTCCCAACTATTCCTGCAAAAAAGCTGGAATTCACATCGACCGGCTGTTGGCACAATATTCTTAGAACTGAAGAAGTGATTAATAAAGAGAGAGTACAAGGGTATATACCTAAAATTGTTGTACCCTCTAAGAGGCGACCTTATACAGTCTATACAAACATGAGTTATGCTTATGTTTGACACACCCCCTAGACTGCATAGGGAAATGACCTGAACAAGCAGCTCAGGGCGGCACTACTAGTCCAACCTCTGAGACAAGGGACTAAAACACCAGTCAGACGGAGTTGAGACAAGGCAAGAACAAGAGCAGGGCGGCACTACTAGCCCAGCCACTGAGAGAGGACACAAGTCCAGTCTGAGTATGCATATAAAGGACAGTACAAAGTCAAGGCCCTAGCAAGTGAGAGGCTACAGGAACTAGACCAAGCTGTACGCAGTGCCGCTGATGATCTTTAAGCGCAAGCGCCTTCGTAAAGATATCAGCTGTGTTGGCACCTGAGGCCAAGTGTACTACGCGAGCCTGGCGTCGCTGCTGTAGCTCGCGCAGGAGGAAGTATCGCAGCTGAATATGCTTTGCTCTGCCCTCGAGTCGAGGCTCCTGACACAGGAGGATCATGGCCCTGTTGTCAGCGAACAGGACCGGGGCAGAGCTAGGCCGCTCACCTAAGTCAGTGAGCAAGAAGGTCAGCCAGCGGAGCTCCTGTGCCGCCATGGCACCAGCGTAGATCTCAGCCTCACAGCTGGACTGGGCAACAGACGAGGAGCGGGTAGCTCTCCACGAGACGGCATCTGAGCCAAGGCTGAAGCAGTAGCCCTGGGTAGACCTGAGTGTCTCGGCATTGTCTGCGCATGAAGCGTCTGTGTGTCCAGTAAGGACCACTGGCCTGCGTCCTCCTAGCACTAACCCCATGCCCGATGTACTAGCAAGATAACGCAAAACCCTCTTAGCGGCAGACCAGTGCTGCGATCGGTGTCTGCCTGTGGCCACAAAGCGAGCCAGGATGCTGAGAGGGTATGCGAGATCTGGGCGAGTGCAAGTCATCAGGTACATGAGGCAACCCACCAGCTCTGCGTAGGGGCCGCTGGGCTCTACCGACTCCTCAGACACTTGACGCCAGAGTCTGTGGTCTACATGCAGAGGGGTGGGCTGTGCAGAGGTGAACTGAAGGCTGAACCTCTGAAGGACCTGGCGCACCAAGTGTGACTGAGTCAGGGTGATGGTGCGCGCTACTCTGTCCCTGGAGATCTGCAAGCCAAGGTAACGGCGCAGTTCTCCAAGGTCAGTGCACGTGTGTCTCTTCAGCAGCTCTGCCTTCACAGAGGCTAGTGCATCCCTGTCTGCTGTGGCAAAGACAAGGTCGTCAACGTAAACAAGGATGTAGAATGGAGTCTGGCCAGCACGAACGAAGAGTGAGGGGTCGGCGGAAGACGGAAAGAACTGCAGGTCAGCAAGCGTAGCACGGAGAGTGTCGTGCCACTCATGGGGAGCCTGGCGCAGGCCGTAGACAGGGCGCCGCAGGAGCCACTGGGTCCCAGGAGGGAAGGTGCAAGTAAAGCCCTGAGGGCGACGCAAGTAGACCTGCTCGTGTAGGCTGCCCTGAAGGAAGGTAGTGGAGAAGTCGAGGGAGTGAAGCTCGTAGTCACGCTGAGCAGCTAGGTGTAACAGAACCTGAAGAGTAGTCATCTTCGGGGTCGGAGCGAAGGTCTGGAAGAAGTCCACCCCCTCACGCTGACTGAAGCATCTAGCCACGTAGCACGCCTTGAACACAGGCGGCTCTCCAGTAGGGCGCTTCACCTTGAAGAGCCAGCGGCCATCGACTATGTTCACCCCAGGCGGGGGAACTGCGTCGACGAAGGTGCCGGTGGATCTCCAAGATGCCATCTCCTGCTCCATGGCAGCTATTCACTGAGAGGCCCAAGGTCCCGAGGTCGCCTCAGCGTAAGTGCGAGGGGTCGGGATGTCGAAAGCGTCTGGGTCACCCTCAGGGACTAGCAGCATGGAACAGAGATGGGGAGCAGCCTCGGATAGGAAACCAAGGTCGAACTGGCGGTCCTCCAGGACGTCACTGCCAAGGGCAGGAGCACCCCCGACAAACGGAGGACAGGCAGGGTCAGAGACCAGAGCGGTGGCGTAGTCAAGGCGGCGGGTAGAGGCGAAGTCAGCGACCGCAGCAACAAGAGCGTCAAGGCACGAGACTGGAACAGACGGGTCGGTAACGAGAGAGGCAAGGACCCGAGGAAGAAGAGGACGAGCGGCACGAAGGTATTCAGACAGCGGCGGGGGTGCAACAACAAGGGAGGACGGAGGAGGCGATGGGAGAAGGGGAGGACGAGACGCGTGGGAACGAAGCAACATAGGGTGGGAGCGCAAGACAGGCGAGGCAGGATGAGCACGGGAGGGACGGTGAGACCAGACGTGCGACGGAGGAGTCGGGTCAGGAGATAGGGGAGGGGACACAGGAGGGGAACGAGGAGGAAGACGGGCCGGGGACGAGTCCGGCGGAGGGAACACAGGGCCGTAGACGGGAAGAGGAGGAGACGGTCGGAGAGGAACAGCCGCAGGGTCAGGGGACGGAAGGCCGAGCAGGCGAAGGGCTGACACCGGCGGGGACTGCTGCTGCGGCGGCACAACGGTGACACCGGGACTGCAAGTGGCTCCGCGTCTACCACAGGCACACTCCACACCAGCACCCCCAGAGGATCCACCCCCAGGGCTACCGGGACTAGCACCCCCAGAGTCAACGAACGGGTGCTGCGACGGCGGCGGCGGCGGCGGCAGCGACAACGACGGCTGCAGCGGCGGCAGAGGCGGTGGAGGAGGGGACAGGGGAGGGGACGCCGGGGGAGGGGCGGCCGGCGAGGACTGCGCAGCAGGGCCACCAGAGTCAGAAGACTCCTCAACCGGGTCCACCGACGGAAGGGGGGTGACGTGGGACACACCAGAGGGGGCAGGACGGGGAGGAGGAGGGGGAGGGGCAGGGACTACCAGGGAAGGAGTGACCAAGAACAGGGGGGGGGTAACTGGGGGACCGCGGTGGAGATGCGACGGTAGTAGGAGACGGACTCGTCAAAGGTGACGTCGCGAGAGTGAAAGAAGCGGTGAGACGGCGGGTGGTAAAAGTGCCAGTCGGACGCGTCAAGGGGAAAACCGAGGAAGATGCAGGGAAGGGTGCGGGCAGTGAGCTTGTCCGTGCCGGAGGCACGGACGTGAGCAAGGCAGCCCTAGACGTGGAACGCAGATGCGTCACCAGGAGACCCAGTCCAAAGACGGGTCGGCGAAACCTGCGGCTGCTGAGGGTGCGGCCACAAGTTAAGCTGGTGAGAAGCGTAGCGCACAGCGAACGGCCACAGAAAATGGGGTGCACCGGCATGGATCATGGAGGTGCGACCCACCTCCATGACCAAACCGATGCGTCGCTCAGCGACCCCATTCTGCTGTGGGGAGTCCGGTAGGGTGAACGTCTGGGTGATGCCCTCCGCACGACAAAAGCGACCAAGGACACCTGAGGCAAACTCGCCACCACGGTCGGAGTGAAGACGCAAGGCAGGGAGACCGCGGTGGACACGCGCAGAGACAAGCCAGGGGATGAGAGCGCCAGGCACGTCGGCCTTGCGCTCCAGGGGAAAGACTGTGGTGTAGCGAGTAAAGTCGTCGACAAGCACAAGGAAGTAGCGCTCGCGACGCGGCCCAGG